GGGGGGGGGGAGTTGAGAGGATTCACCAGAGACAGAGTGGAGTAGAACAGATAGATCTACTGAAATACACTGCTGAGAGGAGCAGCCAGGGAGCCAGGAGAGGTCTGCTGCCCATGTAGGTTCTCTCCCTGGCCTTGTTGGACCTATATTGAACCAAGCTAACACCATTTTGTGCTAACCGCCTTTTCTGCTTCTGTATCCTGCTTGCTGCGATAGGAAATTCCCCAAATAACTTTGCTGCAAGAGGAAGAAAACTTGTAAAATTGATTAAATTGGTTACCGTCTGCAACAGTAGCAGGATATGGGTCATATGATCAGATCATATGATCCTAGGACCACTGCAAGAATGTTATCTCTGTAACAATAAGTTTCGTTTCCTTGCCTGCAGTGTATAAAAACTGGTTTCTGTAATTGCTCGGGGGCCACACTCTCTAGAGGGTGTTGGTCCTCGTTGGCCGGTATTCTGAAGCCGGAATTAAATCTTGAATCTGTCTCCACATTCCCTGACTGCTTTCTTCCAGCGGCTCCAACTACCTGGGTCAAGCTCATGTTACAGTGGCTGCTGACAGCTTGATAGTGCTGAGATTTTAACACCTGGGCCACCAGGGAGGACCATAAATGAATAGCTTTCTCCAACTTTGTCACCAGAAGGATCAAAGTTCTTTGACGAGCAGCTATCAGCCAAACCAGAAGTGTGAGTCACAACACCAACTGAATCTCTGTTAATGTAGAGTCAGAGTAGCCTCACTCGGGTTCCTCAATCCTACTCGTCCCAGGGCTAAAGATAAGCCCGTTTTCGATTTAAGGGGCCTTTGATAAGGAGGAAAGATCAGAAAATGTTCGACAGCCTAAAACGCACACCTCTAGAGCTGGTGGAGTCTGCTTCCCCACCTTGGATTGGCTAGCGTCGTCCTGATCCCTGTCTAGGATTGGCTTTTCCCACAAAGACGCCACTGGGTGGGCGGATCCCGGTGCTTGGCCCTTGCTGCTTATTGGCTCCCACTATGAGGGCGGGACCTCAGAGCACCTCCGGGTCTTACGAAGGGGTAGTGGATGCTGAAGCCTAGGTCTTCGGGAGGACGGTAAGTACTGTGCGGGCGGGACCCGCAGCTTCTAACGCTGGGCACTCCAGCCGGCCCTGGGAACCAGAGCCTATTTTCGTTCGCAGCCTTCAAGCGCTAGTCCGGGTTAAGGAGGGAAGTGGGTAAAAGCCGTCCGCCGTGCGTCTTCCGAAGTTTGCAGTCCTGCAGGGTCACCTTCCTGTGCCCCCACCTGCCTGCTCCCTGGCCCTGTCCAGGTTCGGGGCCTGAGGTTATCCTTCCCTTCTGTTCTGGAACGCCGGGACCGGTTCCTCCCCTCCTCTGTCCTTCCTCTCCTTGTCCAGGCTCCGCCCTCTCCCCCCACGGAAGTCTTTCCCAGTCTGGCTCCCAGCTGGGCATAGTGAAAGCAACTAAATGTTTAATTATTCCACACGTTTTGTGGAAGTAATTTATGTGTAATAGAAAATAAAAGAAATGGTCCTATATTGAAGAGCAATAGCTATCTGCAACTAAATTCTCCTTGCAGAGGCAACCACTTTTAACTTTAATGTTTAGATCTTATTATAATTAGATATCGTTATGATCCTATTAATCTATAATAATAATAATAAGCTGTTAATAATAAGTTTGTTGCACTTTCTTGATTTATGGTTTTGGTATTCCTTTACCCTACTTTCCTACAGGCACCATCTCTCAGTTTAAAACTGCTGTTTTCACAATGTGTTTTTGTAGCTTTCAGTAATAGGCACCAGCTTCTGTTGTGTCAACTTTAAGTGGAAAATCTACTGCCTTTTTGTATCATTATGGACTCTTCCATTTCCAACATACTGTCATCTGGACCTCATCTTTTACATTTAATTCTCATATATTCAGAAATACTGGAGGCACTGTTCTTGGCATGGGGGATATCGTAGTGGACAAAATAGTGTCCCTGACTTCACGAAATATACAGTGTGGGAAGTAAGCTGACAAGCACATACATGGTAGTTAAAAGCAGGCTCCTGTAGAGGTCCTATTGTTATAGGGCACCTCAATTCAGAGAGAGGCACCCCTGAAGTCCCCAAAACCTGCCTGCTCTAAGTGGGTTCTGCCATCCGCCACAACAAGACAAAACATATAAAGCTTTAATGAAAAGTGACTTTAATACAGTGAATATACAATACGGAACACAGAGAATGTATCTCTAAATCAAACACCTGAAGTTACCCATCCCCTCGTGGGCAAAAGTCAA